TACATATACGATCGTTTGTCATCTAGAATAACCAATGACTCAATTTTGATAAATACATGTTTAAGTGTCTGTGCATCACACAACAATGACGTTTACAGGAAGCCTTCTTCTTCAATCTATTTTTTTTACCGCCACCCAAACGTATTTCTGCTTCACGGCAAAAATAGGCAGGGCGGTGGTACCTACCCGTGCGGACTCACAAGGGGTCCTACCACCAGTAATTACGCAAATTATAATTTTTGCGGGTTTCATTTTTATTACACTATGTCCACCCAATGCTGAGTGTAGATCTCTTCAAATGAATAAGAAGTTAGTGCATGAAGGTTATTGGCCTTAAAACGCCACCCTGGCCGTTGCAGGTTGGCGCGTCCACTTATTTCCAGGGTATTTAAGTCCTTGGGGCTTGTGGTAGTCCTATCTGCGTTGTTGCAGAAGTCAGCTCTATCGAAAAACTATTGTCCCCATACGTTTTAAACTTGACCAGTTTATCGGAACAGTAAAATCATGGACGATTGTTCGTGACCACGAAAACCTCATGAAAATCCATCAAAACATCCGTTACAAATATAATAAAGTACACATACTCGAACATACCTATGACTATGTATGTATACCAAAATACTTGAATAGTTCACATGTGAGTCATACACACTTTCGCTGATTACGTTTGTATAATAAAAACGTATAAAACACATAAATTAGCTTTGCATTTTTAACATACGATAAAATTAATAACATAATATTGTTATTCGATCGTCAATACTTCGATTATATTCTTTATCTAAGCATCGCAATAATAATTGACTGTGGGCACTTACCGCATTTGTTCTGAAAGTCATAAGAATGTTGTGTTCTGTTTGTAACATCACAACATCCATTGGAGTTTGTTTACTTTATTCGCTTTCACTTCTTAATTACTCAAGCGATCATCATGAAACTTTGCATGCACGTTGTCAGGGGTAGCGAAAAGGTCATAAATGTTAAAATTATTTTTAAAAAAAAGGTGTGGCACTCGGGAACTGCCGCGGTAAAGCTATTGCCTAGCATTTTTTATAAACTTATGCAATTATAATTAGACAATGATAATTTAATATTAAAACAATAATAAAACAAAACCACGCTATATTAAACATTAATAAAAGCAAAACATTAACTGTCCCCTTCACACTCATAAGCTAGACCGCGCGAGAGAGATATGAGCAGACTTTTCATGATGCGCATGCAGTGCGACGTCACTCCGCGCGCTTATTCACAAACACTACACAAGCGCAACGTGTGAATGTGTTGAACGCGAGCTACATGGTAGGCGGAGTGAGGGGTGTTAGGTTTTTTTCGTTACGGAATTTCATGATTCGGTCGCCGCGCTCAAGGCCCGCGGTAAAAGCTATGCAATAGCTTAAAAATCTACATTAATGCAGGTGCAGCCGCGGGTAAAAGCTAATATTTAATATTTTGTACAATATATACTAAAACAATATGGTCATTCTCTTGTTTAAAGTATTTTCGTTCATTAATCAGAAGAGATTCCTCAAATTACTGCAGCTCTTAATGATTCACCCGCAGTAGCGATTGTGGCGGGTGGCCAACATTCAACACGAGATATTTGACAGATGTCTGAATCTCGCTTACGACATTTTCAAGATAAGCTTGCATATATACAAGTTCCGAACAACAACATTCGGACCGTCGCCGCGTCGGTCTACCGAGCAATATCACCCGCTCGGTGGAAGATCTTCCCTCCGTCGTTAAGCATTCCAAAGAGATAATTAATTACTAGTGGTAGGACCTCTTGTGAGTCCGTACGGCACTCTGTCTAATTCTACTGCCGTGAAACAGTAATGCGTTTCGGTTTGAAGGGTAGGGCAGTCGTTGTAACTATACTTAAGACCTTAGAACTCATATCTCAAGGTGGGTGGCGACATTGACGTTGTAGATGTCTATGGGCTCCAGTAAGCACTTAAAACCAGGTGAGCTGTGAACTCATCCACCCATCTAAGCAATAAAAAAAAAAAAACTATAAGCCCTATAGCAAGTAGCGGTTGTAGCAATCCAAAATGGGTGGATACACTCAATCTACCCATTACTGCTGTGACGTACGAGTAATCGTTTATTTCAGTCCGACAGGGCAGCCCTTGTACCAAAAAAATGGAGATCCATACGTAATACAATTTAATGTCGCCTCTAGAGAAGGGCAGTAGCGGTCACATCGTGTTATGTTAGGTTATCTTGTGAAACCGGGGTCCCGAAACAGATGTACATCGTGTGTGCTCGGCGAGTGGACACTCTTTTTTCACCTTTGTCTGCAGGGTTAACTTTGGTAACGGTATGAGGTATGTTATGAAAATATGAAAAAAAAAACGCTATAATCGCTTTTACGGATTACTTTACATCTTACCTGGTGACGGACGATGACCCCTGTAAAAATGAAGCGTATTGGAAGCGTCGGAAATTGTAAAAACAATCGATTAACTTGCAATACAAGTTTTTGTAAATTTAGACGTTTAATTCTTGGTCATAAACGTCACTACTACATTCCTACGTACATGCATACATGCATACAATGGCGAGTTTTTAAACGTTCACGATAGCGTAAAAGTTAACTCAAACTCGTACGAATGCAGTTGGAACGTTTTCTTACGTTTTCCGCTAGGGACGCTGTTCCTACTCCATACTTTGAGTAACTTTTACGCTATCGACAGCGTTAAAAACTCGCACTAAGCACACTGATCACACTATATTAGTGAGTAAAAATTTTGTGGTTGCTCATATTAGCACTGACACTGTTACAGTAGTAACAAAATATAATCACCTTCCGTCTTATGAGCATAAAGGTGATACTTATACTATATAGTATCGTATAGCTGTAAATGATGTGCTTCCTTGTAAATGTAAGGCAATAAAAGTGTATTACCTCCACAAAAGAAACCTTTAGCTCAGAATGTCAGGAGTGTAATTTATTCCGTTTTTTTTTCACCCATTGGAAATATGCCATGCCCCGACTTTCCATTATGTCGATGTCACGATAAAAATGGGTCAAGTTTGATAAATGTCATGTTTTTGGGGAATTATGAGAGTATTTATGAGCGATTGGACGTGAATGTCAATCTTAACTATGTTACTAACACCTATGTTTGTCCACCTGATTAAAAATAATTTTACGGTTTTCATGCTCCCATATTACGACTACTTTATTACTGGTGGTAGGACCTCTTGTGAGTCCGCGCGGGTGGGTACCCCCACCCTGCCTATTTCTGCCGTGAAGCAGTAATGCGTTTCGGTTTGAAGGGTGGGGCAGCCGTTGTAACTATACTTGAGACCTTAGAACTTATATCTCAAGGTGGGTGGCGCATTTACGTTGTGGATGTCTATGGGCTCCAGTAACCACTTAACACCAGGTGGACTGTGAGCTCGTCCACCCATCTAAGAAAAAGAAAAAAAAAACTTATAAAATATAAATGCAATTTTATAAGTTATGGTGTTTTAAACGTTACGTCTTGTAAAATACTCAGAAAAGAAAATACAGAACTTTTACATAATATATTTATAAAGACGGTACAGACGCAAAATTATCATAATAAATTATTGGCAACTTTAGATTTGTATTTGTAGGTTTATGCAAAAAAAGCCGCTTGGGTATATCCGGTATGTGTCATAAATAAATGTATCAAAATAATGTTCTGATGAATTGAGGTTTGAGAACCACATATTATTCAGGTCCACCCTAAAATTTTATGGTGCTCTATGCGGAAAAGGTATAATATACTATAATAATGAAAAAAGATAATTTTATTTTCAAAATAATTTTATTACATCAAAAAGAAAACCCTAAGCAATAAATTAACATTTCATTTTAAATTTCAAAACTTTATAATTATCTTTTAAACTAACCGTTTTTTTTTTTGTAATAAAACTGTTTATATTTAGGAATTCCACACTATTCTATTACATTGATATAAATAATATATTATTAGGCGTGTATAACTTCTTTATAAAGTACAATTTAATAAGTTTAAGGCAATCTCATATCACAATGCTTAACTTAAATTTATTTATTTATTATATTTACTAATTATGTAATAGGTGTGTCACGAAACATTTAAATACATAAAATAAGCATTATCATGTACATAAATACATAATAATTTAAAATATTCGTAGAAACATTTAAATCGGAACTGTTGTGAAAACTCTTTTTGTAATATTCGACAGAGCAGACAGAGAAATTTCTAAAATAAACACGCAATTCAAATTCCTTAATACCTGGCACTGTTCTAAATGAAAAAAAAAAACCTAAATATCTTCTTATACAATATTGCAACAATTAACTCTATCAATCTCGATCATAAATCTATCAGTTAAATTTAATTGACTGAATCATATTATTATGCTAAAAACACTATCCATATCAAAGCTGCAAAAGCCTTAGTCTCCAGATTATTAGAAAAGAAAACAAACATGACTGAGTGCACCGTAGACAAAAATGTAACATCAAAATATCCACCACAGATTATACAACTTGAACCTCAGCCTTCCCTGTATAATTTTAAAATGTTTTCGATTCTGTCCAAAACACGAAATCCAAGGTCTTGATAATTTAGAAGAAAAATAAGTAATTAAGAAATATTTTACATAAGTCGGTAATATAAAAAAAATTCAAGATTACTTTAAAACTTTGAAAGTAAACACTGCAAAAAGATAACGATGTTTTGTTTGTAATAGACTAACAATATTAGCAGTGTGAAAGCCATTTGCACATACTAATGTTGACAAAAATACAAATTCTATTTGAAAAAGAATCTTGAGAAATGTAAATTTGACAATCATACCAAATTTTAAGTTGAATTTTTCAGCGAATGTGGTATTTGGGACTGAAAACTAAATTATCTACTAAATAATATTAATTTATAAAGAAAAAAGTACGTTGGTTATTCAAACGACCAAAAATTTTATGTTTTGCGTTGTTTTCTAGTTAAGTCATTTGTTTTCAATAATAATTTGCGTTTTCTATGCTAAGCAATCAGTAAGTAATTACTATCTAATCTAATCTTCTATAAAAATACAAAGAACGTGGCATAGATACAATTATTTTAGTCTAAAGGTGTCTTTAAGGGTTTATCAATCATCATCAACTCTAGAAAATTCTCAGTTTGGGTAATTTAGCTAAATTTGACAGTTCGAGTTTTAAAAGCAGTTTCGATTTTATGTATCAGCATAACCTACATAATGTTTTGATTCCGAGTATTGTATATATACAAAACAAATGTTATTGTTTGTGTGACGTATTAGCAAACAATCCCAAACTCTCAGTAATCGAGTTTATTTGCACAGAACCTTTTAACAATTTGGCAATAAAAACCATAACAATTTGAACATTAGAATTTTGAAAAACTTTATATTAATTAATTTATTTATTCGTATTTCTAAATTAGATTAAGGCACTGACTATTTGACACTACTTTTTAATTCTAAAGCGATCCAAATTAAATTTGAATCAACAATGTATATTTAACTAAAGTTATCTATTAGGGCCATCGCCGCGCATAATAAGTGCATAATTAACTGTAATACCGGATAAGATTAAGTACAAGATGTTATTTTTATTTTATTGGAGGCCCGCTTCAAAGACTTCCATGTGTTTTAATAATCAGCATCTAACCACCACAAGCAAAAATCCCGTAAGGCATTTCGTTAATTCATTGTGAGTTCCATACCGTTTTTCTACTATTTTGTAACAAAAAAAAATAAGAAAAGGATAAGGAAATACGTAGTAAAATCATTTTTAAACAAATCATAAAGCTTCGTGTAATCTTTGTAGCATTGTAAGTAACGTTCGAATTGTTTATTCTCTAACAATAACAAACTCAATTATGTTAGTGCTCAATCACTGACGGAATCACGCCGCTGTAGGCCACCGTGCCACCTGTGAACTCACGGAACGAGAACAATAATGAGACCCGATTCCAAGGCGTTATTAAACGGCTATTAAAATAGTTTCTTGTTTGTTTCCCACAGTTGAATAAACCACGAGCGACGCTTGCCGCGACGTGCCGCGCTGGAAAGCGGCAGCAAAAACCACGCGGTTTTTCAACGTATTTATAGGTGACAATGAAACAATAGGAAGAAACGAACGCACACAGAAGGCGCGTGCAGCGGCCGCTTTCCAACGCTCGTGATGATCGCGACCATAACCATCATTTGCATCGCGAGCGAGAAAATTAATTGATTCACTGTTGATCGAGTGAAGGTGCACCGAGACATTCGTGGAATTTGTCCGTTTGCCCGATTTCGGATTACGGTAAATCGCGAATTCCAAGGCAGCGCGCACTCGCGGACCCGTTACTACACCATAGACGCGACACCTCGATCGGAGCTCCTCGGAACTCGCTTTGAGTGGTTGATGCTTACGAACACGGTACGTACACGATCAGCGTTACACACTTTAGAACCCTGGCTCTGCTCTCAGGTTAGGTTAGGCAGCGCCGGCCTCCTGTTTCTGTTGTATCATAGATTCCCACTGCTTTATGAGCCGAGTGGAACTCGGAGCGAGGAACTCTTCACCGGGTGCAAGCTCGCACAGCTCGGCGAGCGACTTGGCTGGCTTGAGGCTGCCGGGTGAGTCGTGTCCCGAACTATTTCTAGGTGATGGCGATCGTATGTCTTCGTTCAGAGCCTCATAAAGCTCCCCTATTGACTTAGTGGCTTTAAGTTTCCCGGGTAAAGGAATTTCCTCATCTTCTGATTCGGAGTTTATCTCATCATCGGTCAGTTCCAGATCAAAAGGTTTCTGTTTTTTCCTCATTTTCTTCAGCTCTTGCTCTCTGTCTTTCATTTCCTGTAGTTCCTTTTGTATCTTCTCTTCGACGGGGACGTATCCCTTCCGTACTGGTTTCCCTTCAGGCGTACGAGTGATGATAGGAGGGGAAACTACTGGCGCCAATACTGGAGTCGAGGGGAAAATAAGGGGAGGGGCGAAGGCCGTATTCGGTGTTGAGGCCGCATTCGAAGGCGGGGGCAGCTTTCCTTTGCTGGCTATAAATCTTTGCATTATTCCTTTTGTACCGGTCTGCGGAGTGAACCGACGCGTGTAACCATTTGCGGTGAGGGCGGCAGGCGCTGCAGGAGTCGAGGGGGCGATGGGCCCTAACAAATGTGAAGTGGAGACCGCTCTGTTGAGGGTCCGCGATATTTTCTCATCAGCATCGCCGTTCATGTGTCCATTCTGGTGATTAACGTCAATCGTAGATTCGGACATAAGCCTGTTGACTCTGAAGTGACCTTCTTTAAATTCTCTTTCCCTCTCTGTGACTTCGATGATCTCTCTCTGGATCCTTGACAGCGGATCTTCTTTCAAAAGTGACTGTAACAATAGAAAAGCATAAATTAAAAAAACTTGTGATTCAATTTTCAATCCTATTTTACACAGAAATCATAACAACGTCGCGCGATTTTACTTTGACTTAAGTATTTTTACAATTCACGACGAGCTCAATGACATTCCATATTTGTGTGACACTACCTACCGCTTTGTGAATGCTGACACTCAACACGGGGCACGAGACGAATCGTGTATGTGGAGAAAAAAAAACTATTATGAAATGCTTAAGATAGTTATGACGCTGATGTCGAATTCTGCGGGATTTGGAGTTTAAGCTTTTCAGATATTGCGAATTTGTCGCACTAACACTGCGACATGATTCAAGGTAAATGATCCATACTGATTAGCACACCTACCCATCCGAGCGTGGCTGGAATAGGTCCTAGAACTATCAGCAATTAGGTACGGAATAAAAATCTGATCAACAGCTAAATGCTGATTTATTTCTTAGCTCAAGTTTTTATTGAATATTTTAATAACCCATAACCGAAAATTACAATTTATGCTTTTTGAGTTACACTGCCGTGAATTTTTTTGTTAATAGACTTGAGCATTTACCGTTTTTCCGATCCAGGGGCAAATACTATTCACAGAATTAGGTCTATTAGATCATATTTAATTGTGGACTTCTTCCACAATGAAATGAAGGGTATCGTAAAATTAAAAGAAGTTTTTTCATAGCGTGAGACCGTACGGCGGGTAGCATCGCCAGTGTAAGCTTTTAAATATTCCGAGTAGGGAGGAGGATAGGACCCCATTACAACATAATTAAGACTTCGGCATCGACAGGGCGTACAGCTGTGAGTGACACTTGTCCAATAAGAAACTCCAATAGTCCGCGTTCGATTACAACCTATGAAGAGTTCCGTGATCAATTTCACAGTTAACATTCAATGCGAATGTTCAAATTGAATCCATTGAAAATATGATTTTAAAGCACGAATAAGCGAGCCTGAATTGACGAATACTTTTTAAATAACTGAATAATTTAATATTATGTAATTATTAATAAATAAAAACGATAATTACCAAAGACAAGCAATAGACGCTGTGGCTATTTCGCAGATCCATATTTGCAAGTAAACCTTTGTCCTCAGAGCGTTTACGCAATAAAGATCTTGTATACAACTGAGCAGTATTAAATTGATAATTCATACCAGAATAAAGCTATTTATTTATCTTTAATATTATTATCCCACGCTAGAAATCGAGGAACCGGGTACGCAGGATTAAATCGCTGTAGACATAGACAAGACGGTGGTACCAGCTCGCAAGGGATCATAACTCGCTCTACTGCAATACTGGTATTGTAAAACCCGCCAAATTTTAATTTCATTATAATGAATATGTAGTACGTATTGTGTGTATGTCGGGTTCATGAACCGATTCACCTTTCGGCCTTCTCACTAATATGAGTCTTTCTGTGCGTGCGTTGTTTGTTTTGTTAAATAAGATTTAAATAGAATGTTTGGTTCCTGGGAAAGAATTGCAGCTAATTTCAAAGTGTAAGCTTTGGCTGTGTTCGTTTCGTTTGCATCGCATTCCTACATATCTATATATTAATACGTGAAGCAAAAACGTTGTACCCCTTTTTACGAAAATTGCGCGGACGGAGTGGTATAAAATTTCCCACATTTGTAGAGCATATAGAAAAGGAGTGCAGAATGTTAATATTTTATTAAATTATGCATAAAATATATGTACATAAAATCAATAAAATAAAAACACACTACTATGTATTTGACACACACATGCATGCCTATTATTGGTTTATTTAGAAGTCGTCGTGGCCTAACGGATAAGACGTCCGGTACACTCGTGTTGAGCGATGCACCGGTGTTCGAATCTCAGGCGGGTACCAATTTTTGTAATGAAATATGTACTCAACAAATGTTCACGATTGACTTCCACGGTGAAGGAATAACATCGTGTAATAAAAATCAAACCCGCAAAATTATAATTTGCGTAATTACTGGTGGTAGGACCTCTTATGAGTCCGCGCGGGTGGGTACCACCGCCCTGTCTATCTCTGCCGTGAAGCAGTAATGCGTTTCGGTTTGAAGGGTGGGGCAGCCGTTGTAACTATACTGAGAGCTTAGAACTTATATCTCAAGATGGGTGGCGCATTTACGTTGTGGATGTCTATGGGCTCCAGTAACCACTTAACACCAGGTGGGCTGTGAGCTCGTCTACCCATCTAAGCAATAAAAAAATAAAAAATAAAAATTACTGTCAAACTTTTCTTATTGCTTATAGTCTGTGGTTAAATTGAGAATAGATTAAATATTTTTTGTCTTTAATAATATTTGTCTCTAGACTCTAGAGTGTAGTCTAAGCGAAGTCTGTGATTATAGAAGTACAATAAATAGTCTTTGACAATAGAATCATAATAGTGTACAAACTTATAATTTTAATTAATTATAGTCGAATTTCGACTATCGGTGGACCACTAGTGTGTTTAAATGTGTGTATACCTATCTGGCATGACCCAGCGCTCATATGGACACATCAGGTGGAAATCCTGGAATTGTATAACGGCCTGATTGATCCTCAGCAGAAATACGCTCATGGCGGTACCTACTCTCACAGGCTTACATTAAGCAAGTACACTAAATCGCTGCCAGTATGTGCTGGGTACGAGTACTCCGGTCATCATATCATTCAGCACTTTATCACTCGCTATGAGTCTTAAAATAAATGTTAGCAATAATAACGTGTTTTGAAAACCATTAGAAAATTTAATTACCCTTAATGAGTCATCTATTTACAAACATCTTTATTTATCTCAACATAATGAAAACATGTGTTGAATGCATAATGCAAGTGCCAGTATGAAATCATACTGCAGAAAGGTTAGGGTTTTTTGCGTGAGGTAATTACCACGTCATGATGTCTCCTTAAAAATTATTATTTGGGATATTCCAGTTTTATCTTTTAAATTTACTTTTAATCGTTTTAACGATTTAATGGCTGAGCACGGATGCAAAGTACCGATTCAAAGCGTTCGAATTAAACAGAGGTTACCGGTTTTGTTCCGGTACATTCAGAACTGCGTCAATGTTTCCGTTTGCCTACGCACGTCAAGTTGAAGTTTCGTTGACATTGGAATAACCGTTGTACGTTTTTTTCAGACGCGAATACGTTTGTCTACACGGTAGTACCTAATAGACAAGTAAACCGCCCGTGCGGGCTCTCAATATACCACCAATAAAGAGACAAGAGTTCAAATTTCTTTGGATAATATATAAATTCCAATATATAAATATTTTGTCAAGCGTACATCCCAGATTCGCGCACAATATTAGTAAGTGGCACTATACTTTGTCCTAAGCTTGATTAAACGTTTGGTCACTTCATTTATGTATGTCTGGGTCACCCTAGCTGGCTGGTATTGACCTTATCGATACGTGCAAGTATCGAGAAACGAGTTTTTGTTATCGATTTTAATGACTGATAGAGGTAATGATTTATTTCGTTTTAATTTTGTAGATAGTGAAATTTTATATGCGCTACAATATGTTGCTAAGAATTTTAAAGCTTTGTTAAGTAAACCTCAAATAAGAAATATTTTCGTAAATATCCCACGTAGCCAATAAAATACAGCGTATTTATGCCAATAAGGTGGTGTGCAAAATGGTTTTTAACGCCAAATGTGGCAACAACTATAGATATACATATATAAAAATAACAGCTAAATTCATACAAATTTCTAGTACCATCAGCGGGCGGCTCTGCTCAGCCCTGATATTGGCAGTGTCCATGAGCGTTGGTAATCACATGCCACTAAGCTCTAGACTCGTTTGTCCATCTAAGCATATATTTTCCCAAACGCCTTTAACGCAGTGAAGCAAGAACAAAGCGTACAGAATTATCTAGAAAACATTAAAAATAAAATGCCCTTCGATACTTTTATCAGTTAATATAACGATAACATATTACAGATAAATCGATTCGTAAGAAACATTCATTTATCAAAGGCCGTTTTAACTTATGATTGAAAATGTATAGTCGATTGATTAGGTTTTGTTTTGTGGGTTTTACGAAAATTTGAACGAAATATAACGTTCGTACAAAGCACAAGAGTCAAGCTATCTAATTAAATTTGAAGACGAGAGCTGTGACAGGAGGATTTTTTTTTTCCACAGGAGAAAATCGCCGGGGATCCGGCGATCCGGCACGGCGGGTGGGGTATGTGGAAGTTGAACCTCACTAAAAACTCCTGCCGCTCACAGCCGGCGCCCTACCCCGGACCGGGTGGGAACCCAGTCGGAGCTATTGAGACGGCGGGACAGGGCTTACGCAGAGCATATTACATCCATCCCGCCGTCCCCCAGACGCCGGACCGGCGGCCGCCAGCGACACGACCGCCGGTTCCCTCGGTCGACGGGCTAAGAGCCCGCATACGCGATGCTGGGCGGCAGATCTAGGCACAAATCGAGTACTGATCCGTGAACACGGGATGCCTCATTCATACTGTTATTATTTATCCGTCATAACCATACATCAATGGTCATACCCCATACTTATTGGCATTACAGAAACATATGAGTAAAATAATACCTAGTTTAATTGTTTTGTTTTTTCAAATAGTTTATAAGACAATCAATGAGAAAGCGGTGAGGTAAAATTAACTAAATGAGAATAAACAATTTTACGGTTTAATCTCAATATCGCGACGATAGTCATCCGTGAACAAAACTGTAAAACTTATTGTTTTTACGTAACGTATTGTTACTACTTGACCAGCGATCAGTCAATCATCGAACTTCAACCATACCGAGACACCTCTAGATCTATTACCGTTTTCCGAATTTCTTGATATAGCTGGTAGACAAAAAAAATATTGACGGACGAGAAAATATTGTTGTTGACAGACGAGAAAATGTCACTTAACTTCTTTGTCTATTATTTTTTAAATATCGCTTGTGAAGAAATTAGACATTCACTGTTACGGAATCATACAACACATGCAAACACATTATCTATACATGTATCTATCTGTATATTTTGTATACAAGGGGTACAATAAACATTAAAGGAACTACATTTTGTAGAAGGCCTAAAAATAATAATATCTGATCAGAGAGAGTGTGACAACCAAAGAACAATTTTAATACCAACTATTGTGATTTTTATGCAACCTTAGGATATATTATTATAAAGGAATTTGTGAGTACCTGCGTCATTTATATTGACCTAGCTGAATTTCCGGTTAAAATTCAACAATTACTTTATTATTTTAATCTTCAATTAACGTGGTACCTAATTAATAAATTTTATACAAAAACTTCTCAACCGCCGGTAAAATTATTCTTAATTTGTTTATTTTTTTGTGTTTATTGTTTAGAGCGGTGAACGGGCTCACAGCCTGCTTGGTGTGAAGTGGTTACCGGAGCCCATAGACTTCAACAACTTAAATGCCGTCACCCGCCTTGAGACATGGGCTCTAAGTTTCAATTCTACCCCGCCCTTCAAACCAGATACCTTATATTAAGCGGTACTACAATGCCGCTACCTTGAAACATTAGTTCTAACTATGGTGTAATGGATGTTTCATGGCTTCAGTTGCCAAGAGGAAAAAATTAATGGAATAATCAGACGACAATACTTCCATATGAGATAGGGAAGTAGCAGCAGCTCGAGAAGGCCAGGGTCAGAATCATGACATAACAATGTTTGGCCTCAATACGTTATAACTAATCTTTCAAGTGATCAACTTCTATTGCTATTTTTGCTTACGTTTGTCTAACGCATTTATACGCTAAGCAATCGTTTTAGATTACAATATATAATATTAGCGACCCGCCCTCGCTTCGCTTCGGAAACTGCAATTTATTATTGATTTCTCCACTATTTAATGGATGTTATTATACATATAAACCTTCCTCTTCAATCACTCTATCTATTAAAAAAAACCGCATCAAAATCCGTTGCGTAGTTTTAACGATTTAAGCATACATAGGGACCGACAGATATAGGGACAAAGAAAGCGACTTTGTGTAATACTATGTAGTGATGTTACTTCAGATATTGCAAAAAGTGCGTTAATATCGCAATTATTCATAACAACTGAATCGGTATCTTGATTCACAAGTGTTTAAATGCAGACCCGTCAAGCTAAATACTTTCTTTTCAAATCGTCTAACATGCTACTTCAAGTTCTAATGTATTATCTGTGTGGGCTTTTCGAACATAAGGTTTTAATGAAGAATTGATCTAAAACTTATAGTGTGAAGTCGAGACCCCAGGACAGAGATCGGTCATCGTTCTCATCGAACCCGTCACTCGCGACGAAGGGCTCGACGAGTAAATTAACCCACGGACACAGCCCACTGAGTTTCTCGCCGGATCTTCTCAGTGGGTCGAGTTTCCGATCCGGTGGTAAATTCTGCGAAGCACGGCTCTTGCTAGTGTTCGTGTTAGCAACGTCGTCAGGTTTGAGCCCCGTGAGCTCACCTGCTAGTTAAGGTTACGCTGATATACTCAAGGCTATCAGCTTAGGTAGGAAAAAAAAAGGACATAGAAGCAAAAGCCGAACCGACGTTCTGCTTCTAGCGCCGACAAATACAAAGCTCTATAGTTACACAGATTACAAGGTCTATAAACCGAATCAATGTTAACTAGTTGAATTGAATTCGTCACGGGAACCAGCGCTGCCGACAACCAGCCGTTTTGTCGTCCAACGGCTCTGCTCTGCGTAACTGTTACGGATCATGACCGATATTGTTGAATTTAAGATTTTATTATATACCAATTGAAGAAATGAGTGGATGAAGGGGTTAAGTACAATTTTTAAGATTTATGAGTTTTTACATTGAATGGGGGTGTTATGTGCCTATAAACCATATTAGACCTTAAAAGGCTATTTTTAGAAATTGCATGTAATAAAGGAGTTACGTACGAAGAAAAAGTATAAGTAACCAAAGTTTGTTACCCGTTTACTCTAAATTAACAAATTGTATCATATCCCCTTCATCCGCTCATGTCTTCAATTATAGATAACTCTGCCGTGTTTATACGACGAAATTTACTTGAGTCAAATCCAATTTATCGAATAACTAGAAAAGAATTAGTATGTTTTTTATTTATTTATGCAGAGCCATTTTTAAAGCCTTTTTTTTAAAGTGACTTAATTGTAAATATAATCTATAAACACCTGGCGATTTAACCTCTTATTGGTAACAGTCGTTTTGCTCGGTCTAATTGAATTCTTTGAAACATTCACGCGGATTACTAACTTCGTCACTAGTGGCAGAACTAAATCGGCACTGCTGACATGCTTATTTCTACCGCGATGAGGTCATGAATTATGGTTGGAAGACTAAGACAGAAGATGTCACATATAATGCAAACTACGGTCTACGTCACAAGACGGGTGATTGTGTTCAGGTTGTCGTGTCTCCACGACTCCAGCAACTGCTCAACATCAAAATTACACGTCTCTCATTTGACCAGCTACCACAGATATCAGAAACGTTTTTAAACCTTTAATATTGTATTTTTTTTCATCTAAGTCAAGATTTGTCAACTTTTTGGAATTAGTATCCAACGGAGGCTAAAATATTCCATAATGAAATAACATACTTAACTAAAGATTGAAGGTAACTTAAAAAGGTTTACACGCTTGTCGTCACCCTATACCCAATCATATTTGTACTTAGGTACATTGATCTGAATAAAACTTTTTTCGTACTATCGCAACGAAATGGTCAGATTTCATCAATCATATGATTCAAGATAAGGAGATCGAATGTTGTTTGGTAAAGTAAACAAAGATGAAACTATATAGGAATATTGAGAATCGCAAACCTAACAATATGGTAGTTCCCATTGCGATACGAGGGTAGTTTTTGATGATTGCAAGTTGTATTTGTATACTTTGCCAGAAATTTGAGATATTTGGTATTATGAGATATTATATGTACTAATAAGTATTTAAAAAGGTTAGGCAGAATAAAATCGTCGAAGGTTATTAACGAGCACGATTAATAGCCAGAGATAAGACAATAGCCATGTATTCACCTACAGCGGGCACAAATAAACGCAAATACATCGAACAATATCGAAGATAATGTATCGGCGGGCAGCGTTATCAGATGTGTAACAGTACATTCGTGATCTCGCACACTTTTACCGATGCTGCACTGCGACCGAGCTATTACCGGGGGCCCGCAAAAAGCTTTCTACCGGCCCTCGTGTCGGCACACATACCGACACACCGACATTGTCCGCGTTAATTACAAGGAGGTCGATCTCGAGCGACGACCCGCCATCGCACCGCTTACTTGCACTTATCCCGTGCCGACGACCTACGAACCCGCGGCTGAACTGGGCACGCACCAGACGTAAACTAGAACTAAAACAAACGGTACTCACGTCGCCCATGGTGAAACTCGTAACGCAATCCGATATCCGAATGGGAAGGAAGCTGATAATTGCACACAAATGTTTCACTGTTTCGACATCACGGCACCGACACCTGGCACGGTTCTAGTTTTGTGGAGCGTGCGTTGCGGAAGACGGACGCGGCTGAGCGCTTACGTCCTCTGCGGAGACAGCCTCGCGAGTACAGACTACAGAGCCGAAGCCATATCACCTGGCCCGCTAATTGGCGCGAGAGCGAGAGGTCTCGACGGCGCTAAAACGTCAAAAGTTAAAAAGAGAAAGTAGATCCAACTTAAAACACCTGAGCGCTGTTTTAGCTACACTATTCTGTTTTAGCGTCGTCATTGTAAGCGCCAGTTTGAAACTTGACCCTTGAGAACGGATTCACGCGCTATTGGCTTCCGAGGGCCAGACCTCCCCACAAATTGGGCAGGAAGCGGCCCTTAATTAAATGTCCTGTTAACTTTTTAATGTAACTTGAGTGGACTTCGTGCACCGTACAGTACGAACTCGGGACATTGTGAGGCTTCTTTGTATAGTCGCTAACTGTTGAGTAAACTTGAAAACAAAATTCATTAAATCAGTTTCGGATGTCTAGTGGTTTTCAAAATAAGGTGGTCTATATTGGTCACCGAAACTTACAGACATCACAACGTGATTACCGGCCCTTGACACTTGAAAACGAAGTCTCTATTGTATTGTATAACAGCTGTCCAACTCTTCAAACCGGAACGCGTCTGACAGTAAATACTGATGGTTAAGGTTTGTGTGGGTCCGCGCGCGCAGCAATACTAATAATTTCTATAAATAAATAAGAACTCCACTGCATAGTCTAAGACTGGTACAGGTATGTATTCAGGCTGATGCGTGTATTGGTTCCAGTTCTTAATACCAGAGTCGCACGTTCTTTTGCCATTCTATGTGCGTTTTTTAACTTCCCGATTGCGTAAAAGCTAATTCAAATTTGTATGGAATTGAAACAGCTTCCCTTCGTTTGCCGCTAGGGGCGCTGTTCCAACTCCATACAAATTTGAGTTAGTTTTTACGCGATCGAGAAGTTAAAAAACTCGCACTAAGCACATTGAGCTATAAACAACCGTTTCAACTCGTCACAACAGTCAATATGGCGTGAAGCAGTTGGTGCTGATCGAGACCAGTTGTCTCGGGCGATATTTGTTATTTACATTTTATCAAACTCTAACTTACGACTCGGTATTCATGTTTAAACCGTCAACGAATCGTCTTCTCGCATTAAAACTGTACTAGAGATCCCGCAGTAGTCGAATTTCGACTATAATTAATTGGAATTGTAAGTTTGTACACTATTATGATTGTATTTTATACTTCTATAATCACAAATCTCGCCAAGACTACACTATAAAAAATAATAACAAAGTCAAACAATATTTAATCTCAATTTGACAACAGACGTCAAGAACAAAAGATTGACAATAAAGAGTATGCATGCGTGTGTGCGTCAAATACATGGTATGTAGTGTGTATAATGTTTTCTTTATTGATTTAATGTATCTTTTATGCATTATTTAAAAAAAATATTAGCATTGTGCATTTCTTCTCTATATTCTCTATAAGTGTGAAAAATGTCATATTCCTCCGTCCGCGCAATTTTCGTAAAAAGGGATACAATCACGTATTAATATATAGATAATCTCAAAACTTACTAATTTTACAGGAGAGTGTTTTAAAGGTGTAACATGTAATCTTTTTAATATTAATCATATTTGCAACATTTTTATTTTTTACCATTTACATTAACTGTCTATTAAAGTAAGATAAAATTATGTATTAATTTTTTTAATAGTAGCCAAAACCTAGGTAAAGTAAAAAAAAACTTAAACTAAACTACGCTCTTTTGACAGTATTTATGAGAAAAATACTGGTGATACCAAATGTTTACTTGTTTTAATGCGAAAAGGCGAAATTATGGAAATGTTATCGTAATTTTACGATTTTCGTACGTTTGAAGTAGTTAACAGTTTTGCCACCCACCTTGAGATATAAGTTCTAAGATCTCAGTATAGTTACAACGGCTGCCCTACCCTTCAGACCGAAACGCATTTCTGCTTCACGGCAGAAATAGGCAGGCATAGAAATAGTACAGACGACACGACAAAACGCGAATTTTTTTTTCCTTCAAATCATTTACAAGGTATGAACGAGCGAGGTTACTACCTTCACTCATAAATTGGTTCTTTTTAACAAGGGGGTTATATTAGAAAAGCTTTTCCATTTTTATAATCTCGCCTTTCAATATTCCAATATCGGAAATAATAAAGTCAGATAACGCCTTACGTCTTACATATATTATGTGACGGGTTTGAATCAATTGCTCTGGGTTTTGAGAACGGATGTCACTTAATATCATACCAAATGATGACAGCTCTTAACTAAACGGAAGGTAGTTCTTGAAATATTGTTGCCACTACACATTGCTAGCTTTTTATTTTCGCGAGTGGCAGACATATTTAAAAGTAGTTTTAAGACTTAATATCTCGTGTCTCTTAGTTTCGACGTTCGGAATACTTTACAGTTTGGAGGCTTGTAGAGAGTACTGAAAGGCAGGCTCGTGGCTAGGCTCTGTCCCTGGCATTGCTGACGTCCATGGGCGACGGTAACCACTCACCTTCAGGTGAGCCCTGCGCTCGTCTGCCTACAAGGGCAATAAAAGTAAAAGTTTAAGTTAAAAGTCGTCGTGGTCTAAAGGATAAGACGTCCGGTGCATTCGTATCTAGCGATGTACCGGTGTCCGAATCCCGCAGGCGGCTACCAATTTTTCTAATGAAATACGTACTTAATAAATGTTCACGATTGACTTCCACGGTGAAGGTATAGCAACGTGTAATAAAAATCAAACCCGCAAAATTATAATTTGCATAATGACTGGTGGTGGGATCTCTTGTGAATCCGCACGGGTAGGTACCACCACCTCGCCTATTCCTGCCGTGATGCGTGAAGCAGTAATGCGTTTCGGTTTGAAGGGTGAGGCAGCCGTTGTAACTATACTGAGACCTTAAAACTCATATCTCAAGGTGGGTGACAGCATTTACGTTGTAGAGGTCTATGGGCTCCGGTAACCACTTAACACCAGGTGGACAGCTGTGAGCTCGTCCACCCATATATGTAATAAAAAAAAGAACAAGGCAAGAGGGTTTTCGTGTCGTGCCACCTTTTCAAAGTGGCGCACTCAAAAAGTAGCAAAGTTCCAGGTCATCATGGAGATCCACGTTCCTCATGAACAACGATGCTCCGACTTCTATCCGGCAAAAACGGGATTATGAGACTTGAACAGGTTTCAAATTATTGCAGGCCGCGTGAGCCAACACTACACTTGCATAGGTCATGACGGGAAGAGTGATGGGGCGAATGGCGGAGGTGTTAACGCGCATATTAGGGAGAGGGAGTCGACATCACTACACTAACGAGACGATCTACGCGCAATGCCTATTGCTGCGTTTACACACTTGCCGAGGCTTGACATCATCCACAAGTTCCAAATCTTTACAAACACTTGGTTGCCATTGACACGTTTGCGAGTGCGTTGGCCGGAGAGGCAAGGTGAGTAGGCAAACATGGTATACGTTGAAATTGTGTCCGCGATTTCGCTTGGCTTGACTTAATTTTATTCCGAACAAAAGGAAAAACGAAGGAAGGGAATAATAGTTCGGCAGAGAAAATGGTAGATATTAGAAATCCGCAAATTTTGCGACCCGTGCGCCGTCGTGTGTTTGGTCTTTATAAACCGACCCTAGTCCGCACAGGATCGACGATAAGCTCACGCAGGCCAAGCCAACTCCTTTCATGAGCTTGTGTTTGTGGATGTTTGCCGAGCCTCACTGAGCGCATAAACGTAGCTGAACAACCGTCACTAATAAATCGCATCGCGTCAATTTACCATTCGTCAGCATAACAATGGCAATATAACAGTAATGTTTTCTAGAAACACGAACTTTGGACCTTGTTGCATATAAAAAAAAGTATTGCAAGTTTTAATATGAATCAAGTGTTGGAATTACCGCGTGGATAAAACGAACCAGAGGTTTGATCAATTTTTTTTTGCCACGACTACGTCTCTTAAGATGATTCATTTTAAACTACGTAATAAATGTTAATTATTAAGTTATTGAACTTAGGAATCACGCTGAGAGACCCACAGGAGTTGATGCCAGAAACATAATGTGAAGAATAAAGATAATAATAGATTGAGAACGGTGTTACAAAAAATACGTAATGTATGTAATGACATTTATTTTCATTATTATAAAGTACCTATGTAATTTATTTTTATGCAAAAACGTAAGGTATACTTTATGGTAAGCCGGGTAATATCGCGTAAGTAAAGACGCGTCTCCCGGGGGCGCCCGTATTTAGAGGGCGATGGTTTAAGCCTTAAGGGATCTTGCTCTTAGCCATAGTGCGAGCGGGCGCGGACGGTCACCTTCCTCATCGAGCCCCTCGAGTTCGACGAGCGAACTAGCCCATAGACACAGCCCACTGAGTTTCTCGCCGGATCTTCTCAGTGGGTCGCGTTTCCGATCCGGTGGTAGATTCTGCGAAGCACGGCTCTTGCTAGGGTTCGTGTTAGCAACGTCGTCAGGTTTGAGCCCCGTGAGCTCACCTACTAGTTAAGGTTACGCTGAAATAGCCTCTCAAGGCTATCAGTGTGCTTAGTGAGAGTTTTTAACGTTCTCGATAGCGTAAAAGTTAACTCAATTTCGTATGCAGTTGGAACAGCGCCCCTAGCGGCAAACGTAGGGAAACGTTAAAAAACTCGCACTAAGCACACAGGTAGGAAAAAAAGGGTGCGGACCTCCCGCATCTGTGGCTTTTTTTTTATTGCCCTTGGAGGCAGTCGAGCATACGGCCCACCTGATGGTGAGTGGTTACCGTCGCCCATGGACTTCAGCAATGCCAGGGGCAGAGCCAAGCCGCTGCTTACCGCTTAATATTCTCCACAAGCCTCGTTTAAAGAAGGACATGTCATAGGCTTCTCTTTATGTTGTACAAGAATGCATTAATTCTTCTTTATTTCTTTCCAACGTAGAAGACTTACGATTNGCAGTCGAGCATACGGCCCACCTGATGGTGAGTGGTTACCGTCGCCCATGGACTTCAGCAATGCCAGGGGCAGAGCCAAGCCGCTGCTTACCGCTTAATATTCTCCACAAGCCTCGTTTAAAGAAGGACATGTCATAGGCTTCTCTTTATGTTGTACAAGAATGCATTAATTCTTCTTTATTTCTTTCCAACGTAGAAGACTTACGATTCACTTAAAGTTCAGTGATGGAGGAATACTACCCGAGACGAGCGGAGGTGTCCTCGGGTAGAATGTTCCGGGGATGGGAACAGAATCGATCAACAGCCAATAAATAACCAAACGATCACGTCATTAATAAATAATGTAATGTATGTTTAATGAAGTTCAGCGCCGCCAAAACAACAAACGTCCGTTAGGGTTGCCGCAACTCATTGTCAATCCTATTTTTGACATACAAATACATGTATGCATATAGTTTAGTTACACTTATGTAAAATAATGATATAGTTTTTATAAGCTTACATCTACTTAATCAGTACTTAACGTAATATTGCAGGAAAAATCTTTGACTAGATTGTTTTTGTTGATATCAGCCTTTCAAGGGTTCACATCCCTGCTCAAATACTGTTGGAATTTTGCAAGTGTCAGAAATGTCTTTTTTTGGACAAAGATCTTTAATACAGCTTACAGTCAGGGTAGACTGATAGACATAGTCGCAAGATGTTATATATGTTTTATAAGTGTAAGCAAGTCTAACTTTTAACTAATATACAAACATTTCACAACTAAGCTGGGACACACAATTTAATGTATACTTATATTTGTGAAACTTATATCAGTATCAATACATAACTTATAACATGTATCATAAAATTTTATTTTTTATTGTTTTTGATATGAGAATACATAATTTATTGTATTTATGTATGTATGTGTAACAGGACTATTATGTTATTTCATTGTAAAAATTAAAATAGTAACTATGTATTGAGAATCATTACTTAGACAATCTTGTGACAATTTTTGGAATATTAGCCAGTTTGAGCAGGTATGAACTTAGTAATACATAAATATATTTATGATTAAAAATTAGATATTCACTATAGTTAATATTAGCTCTGGTTTTACTTTGAGTTTGTCACTGTCTAAATGACTACCTTTAAGGTGTCTCGTCAAATCTGACCTACGATAAAACCTTCTTGGACAGTGACTGCACATAAACGGCATGGTGTCTGTATGATATTTATACAAATGAGTCTCGAGCAACTTCATCATGGGAAATGCTTTACTACATTCTCCAACCGTACAACGATATTTATCAGCTCTCTCATGTTTGTACATGGTGTGGAAAGAAAGACTTCTTTGTGTAGCAAATGCTTGATTGCAGGTCCTGCAAACGTAGGGTTTTTCTCCGGTATGTTTGCGCAAATGTTCAGCTAGATTCGGAAATTCTTTCATACATACTTTACACTCTCCGGCTTTTTCCGAATGTTTCCTAATCATATGGGTCTTGAGATTGCCTTTAAGTGAAAACATCATTCCACAGAAGCTGCATATGAAACGAGTCTCATTGGTATGTAATGAAAGATGTAAATTCCTTGCTGATTTTGTCTTGAAAAGTTTGTCACAAAGGTGACACTTGTGTTTCCTCTCATCGGAATGAGACAGCATGTGTCTCCTCACAGCATATTTGTCATAAAATTGTTTGTTGCATGTTGAGCAGGAATGTGTTTTCTCTCCAGAATGTGTTCGTTTGTGGCGTATCAGAGATGAAAGTTGGGAGAATTTGCTGTGGCATAATTTACATTCATATGGCTTCTCTTGCGTGTGAGAACGAATGTGAATTATGATATCTGCTTTCCTGTAGAAACTGTTGCCGCAAGTCTCACAAACAAATGTTTTTTCTCTCTCTAAGTGGTTAGTTTCAATGTGCCTTTTCAAACAACCCTTTAATCGGAATGATCTATTGCAGACATCACATTGATATGGTTTCTCTCCTGTATGAATTGTGTTATGAATTTCTAAAGCTGAAGAAGAAGGTAGTATCTGCCCGCAGACAACACATTGTACTGGACCATTAATTGTTTTATTTCTGGCCTCTTTTTTGAACTTTCTAACTACTTCCATGCCGTGGCGCGATTCCTTGTGCTTTCTGAGAGTATATTTACCAGACAAATGTTTGTGACAAATTTCACATTCAAACAATTTGATTTTAGAATGAGATCTCATATGGTCTTTGTAGGCACTCTGACAGGCAGCCCTGTAACCGCATATTGCACAGATTCTTGGCCCCCTACTCTTTGTTCTAGATGATTTTCTGGGTTTACCTTGTAAATCTTCATACTGATGATCATCACCGTCTAAGAATTCAGTTTCAGACTTGATTTCAGGTTCCTCTTTAATTTCAATGTATTCGGATTTGACGTCGTCCTTTTCTGGTTTATAATTCAAAGATACTGAACGTAAAGCCTTGTCAGAGGCTTGGCATTTGGTGATGAAATCGAAGGCAACAGAAAGTTTAACTAGGCATTCTTCGCACATGAAATCAGGCAGGCCGTCGTCCTCTGCGATGTGGATGTTCGCACAATGCATAATTTTCTTACAATATTGCACATTATCTTCGTGTGTTTCGAACAAATTAATATTTCCTGGTTGAACGAGACATAAACGACATATTTTGGACTCCATTACAATGATATATTAATTTATTAATGTATACCTAGTAAACAAAACACATTGAAGTCGTTTCAGTTTCATAATATTGTGATAAAATCACTTTTTAGAGTAAAATCTTTCACATTGTTTTAGACCAGAAAACATCAAGTTGTTTTCATTTCACGGTTTTTTTTAAGGGATTTTATGACCTGGTAACTGAGACATTTAAGTCATGTCTTATTTTAATTTATACCTACTCTTATTTTTATGATTAATAATAATATGGAGTGAAGTGAAATGAAGATGATTAATTTGAGACATTAATCAACTGGGATGAAATGAAATGAGATGAGATGATTCGGTATGAAATATAATCTCAGTAAAATAGTGGTTATTTATTGAAATTTTTTCAGTGGCCTTTTTGGAGGATCCCGAGAAGTTACGTCCAGCATCTTTGTTTCATTTTCCCACATTTATGCACTTTCACAGATATTAAACAGTTAATAAACCACCGTTATTACACATATTACAAATTTAATCTCACCTTATTTCATCTCATTTATTTGTATCCCCATTCATTAATTTGTCGAATTATCAGCTTCATTGAAATTCGCTCCATATCATTCTTCATAAAACAGAAAATACCAAAAATTACGCTGTATTGTTTGACCTTCGCCTTTCAGGTTGGAAAAATGGACCTATTAGTCCTATTACTTTAATTTTGACAATGATTATTTGATCCTTAAGTAAACAAACCTACTCTGTAGTGATAAACATAGATACTTACCATATGGTGATGTTAAATAAAAAACATTGTCCAAGGCAAACCTGCTGGGCTGGATATTTGCTCCTCAGATTTCACATAACTTATTAAATATAATACAGAGGTATTTGGCCTATATAGATCCTTGGAATATAGTATCATGGATAAAAATATTTGTAGATTATGTTGCGAGAATAGAGCCGAAACTAACATATTTGAAAGTAAACAAGGAGAAATTAGCGTAAGTTCAAAAATAATGTATTGCTGTTCAGGTCTTCAAATAAAATCGGATGATGGTTTGCCGTCTAAAATATGTGAATTTTGCAAGAAAGAGCTCGATGCTTGTTACTATTTCGTTTTAAAATGTGAAGCAGCAGATAAGAGATTACGATTGAAAATTGCAGAAAAACCAAAATTTGACGCGACTAAGACCGAAATCAAATTGGAAGCCGACGATGACGATAATCATTGGGACGAAGAGACATTCGCGCTTAGACTGTGCGATGTTGATATTAAGTCAGAATTTACAGAACAGAAAGCTGAGGTACGAAAGAAAAGACGTTATACCAAACGTACTAAATATAAAAGGCATCAAGATGGTAGCTGTAAATGCCCAGTTTGTGGTAGAGTTTGCATAAACCCGTCCACTCTGACAATCCACATGCGAGTACACAGTAGCGAAAAATCCTTCTCATGTACAGTATGCAATAGTAAATATAAAGATGCAGGCAATCTCAAACGGCATATGAACAGAAAACATGATCCGATGAGGCAAAGACAGTTTGTGTGTGAAAATTGTGGTAAAGCATTCTATTCTAAAAGAGATGTTGAAATCCATATGAGGACGCACACCGGGGAGACACCTTACACTTGTAATGCATGTGGAAAGAGTTTTACACAGGCAACTTCATTGTTTCGCCATAGATTAAGACATGAGAGTGAAAAGACTTATTCATGTACTATATGTAACAAACTTTTCCGAACCAAAGACGGATTGAGGAACCACGCATTAGTACATACATCAGAAAAGAAGTTTTCGTGTCCTATTTGTAATATGTCTTTTAAATATAAGAACAATGTACACAAACACATAAAAAATCATTCTGAGCCTAAGCGTTTTGTTTGCAACTACTGTGGGAGATCATTCAGTATGAAAGGTGGCTTGAAGAGTCACATAGACAGACAGCATTCTGAGAAATCAGGTTATTGTAATGTATGTTCAAAACATGTACCAAACTTAGAAGTTCATAGTTGGAAGCACACAGGGCAACGGCCATTNAAGAACAATGTACACAAACACATAAAAAATCATTCTGAGCCTAAGCGTTTTGTTTGCAACTACTGTGGGAGATCATTCAGTATGAAAGGTGGCTTGAAGAGTCACATAGACAGACAGCATTCTGAGAAATCAGGTTATTGTAATGTATGTTCAAAACATGTACCAAACTTAGAAGTTCATAGTTGGAAGCACACAGGGCAACGGCCATTAAAATGTGAACTGTGTTCAAGTAGCTTTTCACAGCTTAAAGCTTTGACACATCATGTTAACTTCAAACATAAGCAAACCTCAAAACACAAATGCCTTGTTGCCGGCTGTGAAATGGCATTTCCATCTAAACCAATGCTAGATTACCACACTGCCAAAGTACACAGTACAGACATTCCATTTCCTTGTGACCGATGCTCTAGGGGTTTCTACAGGAAGAATGACCTATCTCGGCATATGATTGGAACCCATAAGGAAAAGTTACTGTGATTTTTGTGAAATTGTGTTTTCATGGACTTTGATAGTCAATAAATATAGTGCCATATATTATAGATTTTATTTTATTCGATCCTATTGTGTATCACCAGTTCTGTTGTGATATCTTAGGGCTCTAGTGACCACTTGATATTAACTTATTTTTTGCTCAGCAAAACATCTAGTATAATAAAAAAAAAGTTATAGGACCAACACCAGTTGATTAGTTATTTCATTATATTTTTATTTTGACTGAGATTGTGTCTATTGAAGAAGTTCAACAAACAATCTGGACAAATGTGTTGTAGTACACAGCTAAATTTTAAGCTTTATTTTCACTTATACATTTTTCTTAATTCTCAGTTTTATTATCTCATTTGTTCTCGTATGATCTATTTATATTCTCACTGATAGCTCAAAGTAACCTTGACCCTACTTATATCAGTCCAAGTCTCGACTTCATAATGACTTCGGTTGCACTAATTGTCAACTTGTAGGCCATGAAAAAATCATTCACATTTGTACTGATACACATTTGTACATTGATACTTCCGATCGGGATTCTCATTCAGAAATCGTTTCTATCAAGGCCTATAGGCCTATCAATATTATTAAATGAAAACACAAAATATGCTATAATATTTTATATCATTGCGAATGAACACTGGACCCACGTTTCGAAGGGCCGCTACAAAACCAAGCTCCAGAGAACATTTGTATCTGTACATTGAACAATTATTGCTGAATTAAGCTCTTCTTAATTGAAAGTTTTCATTTTGTCACACACATTTATCAAAAGTTGAATAAAAATGTACACATGTTTGTGAAGATATAACTTCTTTATTTAATATAATATTTAGACCCATAACCCCGTTAATGCAGTTGTAAATATAATATTTTTTTTTAGATTTTTCGACACATCATTTTAAAGTTCTTTATTTCATTCATTATTCGACAGGCTTCATTTAATTACTATCGCAGATAAATGTGAGCGACAAAATCTTTTTTTAATAATTTTTAACAACAAATAATATGTTTTTAGGTAATAATTTACAAAATGTTAATGCTTTCACTTTTAACTTTTTTTTAAATAAAATATGTAGGTACATATTTAAACTTAATTTATTTACTTCTTAGATGTTTATATTAACATTTAATTAAAATTTAATTACCTACAAATTGCACAATTCGTAAATCATTCTGTATTGATCCAGTCAAATTCAAAAATAAATATAATAATTTGTCTATTTACTGTGATGGGCATATTGTTGAATCGTCAAATAAAAATGGACGCAAATAAACGTTCGTTGTCAAACCTCACGATTGAGAAGTTGTAGTTCTATTCAAGAGGTTTTCTCGTATTGAGAGACTATTAAGACCTTTAAAATCAAAGGGAGGACTGTAATTGCCATAATGCCATTAGAGTTAAGGTGAGTAATGAGTATGTTGCCTTGTTTATAGTAAACAACAGACCCTTTCTCTAGCGAATAGCCTAAACTCACACGTTTCCGAAACCAGGTATGGCCTGACAAAAGTACTAAGAGCCATTATGGTGGTAGGACGTCTTGTGAGTCCGCGCGGGTGGGTACCACTACCCTGCCTATTTCTGCCGTGAAGCAGTAATGCATTTCGGTTTGCAGGGTGGGGCAGCCGTTGTAACTATATTGAGACCTTAGAACTTATATCTCAAGGTGGGTGGCGCCTTTACGTTGTAGATGTGTATGGGCTCCGGTAACCACTTAACACCAGGTGGACTGTGAGCTCGTCCATCTATCTAAGCAATAAAAAATAAATAAATAAAAAGCCACTTTAATGATATAGCAACAGTTGTTGCTCGGAAAGTAGATAGTTTTAAACACTAACAATACCGCTATTGATAAATTGGATGACGCTTAAATACGTCTCAAAACTTCAAGTAGCAAAAGCGTCGTTAGATTGAGCAGCCTTGCTCTCAAGTTATTGTTATAATTGGATTCCATAATATTACCTACTTTAGGTTTAATTGCGTCCATTTATGTTTACACGAATTTTATAACCTACAATTACATAGAAATATAACCACTGGGTGTTACTAGTTCACGTAATAGTATATTCCCGAAAACCATAAAAAACATTACTCAATTTATATATGTATAAATAAATAACGAATATTAATTAAATTAAATAATTATATTATAGGATTCAGCGCATATTAAATACAAGGATAGGGACAGAAGAAATTTTTACATTTATTCAGTAGCAGCACACAGGCTCCGCCCTGAAGGAGACAATCAGAGTATAAGTACAGGAGACATCTTGAGGTCCTAAATCGGCAAGTAGGAGGTGGGTAGTGTCGTTGTGATCATTGAAGACTAGTTTTATTGGATCGGTTTTTCAACGTTTTTATAGACTTGTTCAACATCGGTCCGAAATAGTGTAAATTTTGTTAAATCAGAATAGCCATGTCTATTAGACGACAAGTTTTTATTGTATTTATAATATGCTGAATCCTTGTTGACTTAATGCAGACATGCATAGAAAGGTACTTTGTTGGATTTAATAAAAATAAAAACAAAAAATAAAACGTAATAGTCGATGTATTACAATAGGCCATTTATAAAACATTAATTTTCATTTTCATTAAATAAAAATAGTTTTAACTTTTATTAAAATATTATTGAAGGCATAATGACATAAGATTTCATTGCTTCTCCAAATTAAAAACAACAATGCGAAATTAGCACCAGAATAAATTTAACTATTAATCTATGTAACCGTATGTAATCACGTATTCAAAAGTTTTGACTATAAAATGCATTAAAAAAAAAACAATAAATTTATTTTATCTAACTTATTTCAACAACAGAGAAAAGTCAACATTTATATATTAGTTATTTACTTTCGTAATAAAATTATTATTAAGGGCACTGCCCGGCGCATACCCAGTCATGTTTATAATAATAAAAAAAAAAACACTGAAATACACTTAACACCAAAATTCCGAAAGTCCAAAATATTTATACAAAAAAATCGATTAAAGTTTAAACATCAGAGTTGTCGTCGCGTCGCCATGTCTGACCGCTCTATCAATATAAATACGTATTATCGTCACGATACTAACATATCGATAAACTGTCAAATGTTATAAAATAGATTTATCATCTAATAAATAAAAAATCACTAAGTTGCGTTGGCAACATTTCAATTTATCTTTAATTATAGTTTCGATGTATGGTTCATTTAGAATACCGTTAATGTGTCCACATCATTTAAAAAATAACCATCTATTTGCTGAATCAGAGTTGAAATGATCTGAGACATTATCGACGACCGAACACTGGACACAACCGCTCGTTATAGAAGTCGATACAGCGATATCGACACTGCACACAATAAATTAATTCGATTGCTTTTTTTAAATATTTCAAATGAGAGTCATTAATTAATGGCCTGTTCAGTCATCTGTAGACACAGCGCGTCGAGGCTGGAGTATTCGTCGTTGGGGGTGGGGGGCGGGCGGGGCAGCGCGGGGGGCGCGGCGCCCACGTACGGGGGGTAGGAGTGGGACTTGGGGCGCGGGTGGGGGGGACCGGGGCCCGTTTGAGGTTTGCAGCTCCATATGCGTTTTTGAGGCTTTTGGTACCCGTTGTGTGGAGGCATCCGCCATCTGTAACACGATTATCATTCGAGTGTTCTGTGTTAAGAAAATACATATTATATATTTAAAATAAGTGCGCGTGTGAGTGAAACTTCTTTTGCGGTGTGTTGTATTGTGATTTTCTTCATTTTTCATTCATATATCAAATTTCTCTTGTAATAAGGAATGCTGTGTATAAGAGAAAATATCTCTTCATCATTTATATATATTTTAAATTATATTTTATATTTTTTTAATCCATTAAAAATAAAATATTATATAGCTAATATGTTACTGCCATCTACAGGAGCAATAAGAAACTAACAACAAGCCATCTAGTGGCCGACGTCCGTAAACAGAGTTTCTCCTAAACGACCTAACTCGCTTTCCCCCTTTCTCCACGGTCGAGTGGATCGCAAAACGCTCTGTCTATTTTCTCACTGTTGCTCTACCTAAATTGTATATTTTCTCTCCAGCCGTAACGAATCTGTCGCGGGTTAAACTCTCCACACGCCTAAAGAAGTTTCACTTTAATAAATTTAAATTCACCATATTTTTTACGAGCTCAATAATGCTCTTAGCAATTAATGGTGTCTCAATTAATTTGAAATAATTTATCATATTATTATGATTAATCAAGAAATAGAATGAATGAGTTCATGAGTGGGGGTGGAGGGGGGATGGAGTGGGGGGCGGCACCTGGGCTTGGCGTGTCGGTGTCGGTGCGGCATGTCGCCCACGTGCCGGTAGAACTGTCTGGGCGGCAGGCGGTGCCTCAGCCGCTTGAGGCCGTCCTGCAGGCTCGCCGAGCTGAAGGACTCGTGGTGCAGCGCCTGTGTGTGTAGTACGTCCCGTCACATCAACTCGTCCGTGAACAAATGTAACTACATATCTGTGGCGGGTAGCCATCATACAACGCAAAATAATTGACAGATGCCTGAATCTCGCTTACGACATTTTCAGTTTTTTTTTTTTTTTTATAACAACGAGAGGCAAACGAGCAAGACGGGTCACCTGATGGTAAGTGATTTACCGCCGCCCACGGTCACCAGCGTTTACGCCAGTGCGTTGCCTACCCTTCAGGTAAGAATATGCTCTTTTCTTGAATAACCCGATAAAGCGCATATATACAAGCTCCGAACAACAACATTCGGACCGTCGGTATACCGAGCAAATATCACCCGCTCGGTGGAAGATCTTCCCTTTGTCGTTAAGCCTTCACCAAACATCTATACTAATATATAAATCTACAGTGGTTTTTACGGATGTTCCGCTATAACTACTGAACCATTCATGCGATTGACTTGAAACTTGGTATCCATGTAGAAAATACATGTACTTAATTGATAGGCTAATATTTATATGAGTGTTGGACTCCCTACCCCCATTGCGGGAGCGTTAATGATGAGAATCTTTGTGGGGGTGAGAAATAATAATGTTAATTTTAAACGCCCAGCAAAGCGGACGGGTACAGCTAGTCGTACATAAGTATATAGATCGTCGTAGCCTACAGGACAAGACGTCCGGTGCGTTCGTATGTAGTGATGCACCGGTGTTCGAATCCCGCAGGCGGGTACCAATTTTTTTAATGAAATACGTACTTAGCAAATGTTCACGATTGACTTCCACGGTGAAAGAATAACATCGTGTAATAAAAATTAAACCCGCAAAACTATAATTTGCTTAATTACTGGTGGTAGATCTTCTTGCGAGTCCGCACGGGTAGGTACCACCACCCTGCCTATTTCTGCCGTGAAGTATTTCGGTTGCATCTCGGTTTAGAAGGTGGGGCAGTCGTTGTACTGTTAAAAGTGAGACCTTACAAGTTATGTCTCAAACTATGGGCTCCGGTAACCACTTAACATCAGATGGGCCGAGTGCTCGTCCACCATCTAAGCAATAAAAAAAATCTACTTTAAATGATGATATGTGTACTAACAGCATAGGACAACAGCAGTTGCATGAGTACACTTCTTTACTGACTATGCAACCCACTGAGTTTCTCGTTGGATCTTCACAGTGGGTCGCGATTCCGATACGGTGGTAGATTCTGTGAAGCACTGCTCTTGCTAAGACTAGTGTTAACAATTCTCTCAGGTTGAACCCGTGAGCTCACTTATCGGTCTGTGTGAAGTTGGAATAGCCCCTTAGCTACCAATGATTAGGTAGGAAAATTTATATTCGAATATTTAGCAAATATTTTTTGTTGTCCCTCATATCCATTCGCACAGCCCGACTGGGGAGTGCACGGGGGAATTGACTCCGACTAATCCTAGAGTACCTTTTCAACAAGCCAGCAATGTAAGGACATGGGGTCCACGGGCGGCTCGTGGTCATCATCGCTGCTGGGCACTGACAGACGGTGGTTGATGTTCGATGAATTGTTCAGGCATTTCGATGCTGGAATTTATTTATTTATTTAATTAATTTCACAAGTCGTAAAACGTTTTTAGTCCAAAGCTTGTGGCTGTCAATATCTATACTAATAATATATAAATCTACAGTGGTTTTTACGGATGTTCCGTTATAACTACTAAACCATGCATCCGATTGACTTGAACTTGGTATCCATGTAGAAGATACATGTACTTAATGGATAGGCTAAGATTGATGTGAGTGTTGGACTACCTACATCAGTTGCAGGGAGTGAGAAATAATAATGATAAATTTAAATGCCCAGCGAAGCGGACAAGTACAGCTAGTCTATATAAATATAATTATTTTTTGTCAAAATCTTACATTGCATCTGTTTTATTAGCATTACATTGAGTAAATTGAAGTAGAAAACTTCAAGACTTTATTGCAAAACAAGTTACCAAGTTGCAAAGCCCTGACAATGGAGCCGGGAAGTTCAGTCGAAGGTGGCATCGGACTGAGCAACACTCCCCGCAGCCTCTCCAGAGCTCGTCCCACGACCGCAGTCCCTGGAGTGCCCTGCAGCTCTGTCTCTATCGCTTCCATCACGGAGGGTCGCTCGTTCAACTTCTTTATCGACAGGAGCAGTTTATGTCGAGCGCCTTTCGTCACTCCTACAACACAACAATAAAGTTACATGAGCCCAAAAAGATTCCTTCTAATTGACAACATTTAAAAAAATTAACAACCGTTTTTTTATTTTTCAATTCTGAGCTAAATATTCTTATAATTTTATATTACTTAATTTGGGAGTAAATAATTAAAAACTAAAAATGGTGGTGATGTCATGTTTACGAATTGTAAGAAAATATTCCTTTGCCTTTCCGACATCGCTGATTTTTTATACTCTGGGGCGAAAATGTCAAAATATATCATTATAATTACAAAACAAAAGCGTCAGGGTTCCCAACTATGAGTTTCTCTCCCCTAAATTTACTATCTTTTTTATTTATTTTTATTGCTATGGTAGGTGGACAAGCTGGCCCACCTGGTGTTAAGCGGTTACCGGAGCCGGAGACAATACTAACGCTAATGCCACCATCCATCGTGAGACATGAGGTCTCAGTCTGTTTTTCTAATACAACAGCTGCCCCACCCTTCAAACTGAACCGCGTTACAGCTTCACGGCACAAATAGGCAGGGTGGTGGTACCTACCCGCGCGGACTCACAAGCCGTCCTTGCGTACCTGATACATGGTTAATTTAGATGCTGTCAAAGTAGGAATGAGAGGTATACCAGCGAAATCTTTCTATAACCTACTTAAAGAGACATTGGCTCATCAAGAACTTCTGTAAACTCTATACTTGAATGAACATCTAAAGCCACACTAGACTGTTCTTATCAGATCTGGCCGGGCGGGAAGAGCAGCCCCTGTAACCTACACGGGGGTCGCTGGTCAATCTACAATTCCTGTGTCTGCAACAAGATGAACCGACACTCCCATGATGAATTGAATCCATGGACTGGTATAAAATTGTCTCTTCTTTTTACAATAAGAAACATTATTCAGTGTTTATTTATTTTATTCTGCAATTTCCTTCTATAACCTAGTTTACACTGATTTCAAATCACTGAACTTGTATAAAAGTTTTTTTGTGTACAGTAAAGGATAGAATAGAGAAACAGATACAATTTGAACTCACCCAGCTTCTCCAAGTACTTTTCATCCATTGCCATCATCTGATCATAGCTTATATTTGTGAATAGCCACACATACTTATGCAACCTTAGACTTTTCAACCACTGAGCAACAGTCGACATTCCAGGGTGTTCGGTGAAGTTATTCGATCTTAGATCATCTAAGCGGGTTTCGCTGCCCGTTGTTCCGTACATTATACTAATGGGCCTGATTTGGCTCAAGCTGTGCTCGCTGGAGAGGGAGAAACTCCTCGGTTTCTGAACAAAAGGCTCATCACTCAAATTCTCAGCTGATGAGGACATTTGAAGAAAATTAGTTGAAGGTGGAGTTAAACTATTTGATCTTTGAGACTTGGGTTGGGCTATTGCTGCCTCAAATAACAATTTGTCCCCGTCTAAATTCAAATCAACATCACGACCATTCTTAGAGAATGATTCTTGAAGTAAATCATTGTTGAATTGATCCAAAGGATCTAAAATACATCGAAATTCAACATTTTTGCCTATCGTTCTTCTGAATGAGTTGTTTGTACTCCATATATTGGTGTCAGGAAGGAGACAGGGGTCTATCCGTTGTTGCCAAACGCTTTCTGTATTTCTGTTACCGGATATGTGATTCTCTAAGTAACGCAGCCACTGTGTTAATGTCCTGTAAACATATCAAACTTATGTTTTACCTATCTTGTTTTACTTTCAGAGTGTATATCGACGCTTGAAAGGTAAACGTGACTAAGCGACAATGCGTGAACTTTACAATAGACTAATTTAAAGTTGAAATACCTGAACACAAAATTTATTTTAACGAATCTAGCTGTAGTATACACGAAATATCACCAAAACCACTAAAATCAGACTTGTAAGAGCGCTGGTCTTCCCCATTTTTCTTTATGCTGCTGAGACCTGGACATTGAGAGAAAGTGAGAAAAAGAGGATAGATGCTCTCGAAATGTGGTGCTGGAGAAGAATGCTGCAAATATCGTGGACGGAGTTCAGAACGAAGCAGTCTTTTCCACAGGAACTCGGCATCAAGCAGCGACTATCCTCCATCGTTCAGGGTCGCATTCTCACTTTCTTCGGGCATGTGTCGCGGCGGGGTAACGACTCAGTTGAGCGCCTTGTGGTTCAGGGCATGATAGAGGGTACAAGACCGCGCGGCAGATCACCGTTACGATGGACCGACCAGATAAAGGCAGCTCTAAACGGTCCCGTTAACAAGTGCACAAGAAGGGCCGCAGTACACGAGGAATGGCGACGTCTGGTGAAGCTCACCACCACCCGAAGTGATGACTACGACCACTCTGCCAAGAGTGCATGTGACTGAGAAGAAGAAGAAGAGCTGTAGTAGAATCTAGCTAGTAGCTGTAGGATTGAAATGATTTTAATAGATCTAGAAATTTTTTTTTTTTGCACATCGAATATGGTTATTGCCTGTCATTTATGTACAAAGCAGTTATTGTCGCTTAGTCACATTTACCTTTCAAGCGTCGATATCATTATTTTATTGTATTCTGAAAGATGTGCATTAAAAAAAGCTCGAGTGGTTCTAGTAAAAAAAATATTATTGATTGATTTGGAGAAATCTCTAAACCATATCCCACTACAGAATACATTCTCAACTTTGATTAGTTTTACTAGCATTTACGTACGGCTTTAGTACACGTAAAACACATATACATTACATACCTCTGATCGTGATGTGTTAATGCAGGATGCACCAGCATGTAAGACAACAGCTGTCTGCATAATTCTGGAGCCAGCGATGTTCTTCGTGGGGAATCTACACACCTTTGAACTAACACTGGCATAGCATTCATGTAAATGTCTTTAACACGTTCGTTGTCTGTGTTCAGTAGAGGTAATAATGTTAAGAGTTGATATAGTCTATCACCACCTGTAGAACAGAAAATTGTAACTCTTAATACTGTTTCAAATATAAAATGTGATATAATCAAATATAATAAAGATTGATATTAACATTAAAAGCTACTGTTCACTTATTTTCATGGAAAACAAATTTAATAATTCTCTTGTAACAAGTAACAAATAAACGCTTTTTTTAACTGTGTGTACATAGGTTTATGAAATGTATGAAGTTTGCAGTTTATATAAGTTTGTATTTTAAGCCTCTCCAAACCTCCTCTTTCAAGAATCCAAAGCAATAAGTCCAAGCACTTAAATGCTTTTACATGTTAGCTTTGCTTGTGCCATATTGAAAACAAAAATAAATTTAGAGCTACATAGTTTTTCTGAGAAGAAATAAGTTGGTAGAGTTGATCAACTCAAGACATCTAATTTTATTTTTGATGGAGAAATAAAATGATATATTTAAAAACACAAGGCCAATCGAAATTGAATAGGCTGAGTAAAACACTTTCCAGAGTGTTGTTTATACTCCAAGTTTTCTGGCATAATACCATGTACAAAATATAGTGCTTGTTTATTGCTTAGATGGATGGACGATCTCACAGCCCACCTGGTGTTAAGTGGTTACTGAAGCCCATAGACATCTACAACGTAAATGCGCCACCCACCTTGAGATATAAGTTCTAAGATCTCAGGTATAGTTACAACAGCTACCGCACCCTTCGAATCGAAACGCACTACTGCTTCACGGCAGAAATAGGCGGGGTGGTGGTACTTAGCCGTGCGGACTCCCAAGAGGTCCTACCACCAGTCTTCTATTAAAAATTGATGTTTCATAATTTATATTGCATTTCTTCAAAAAAATACATATTTTATATTCAGCAATACTGACAATGCACAGCAAAGATTCACTAATGTTTAATCAGATTAATAATTAATAAATTAAATAGAAAAATCTTTCCAGCAACCAAACAAAAATTGGCGTACATAATAAATCACATATAAACATTGGTGACATCCAGTTTTTTGTATAAAACACATTCAGTTATATTGGCTGTGTATCATTTATGTGGTGATGAGCATGAAAATCAGTCTTAAAGAGGTTTTTGTGTTTTTAATTTTATTTATATTTTATATGAGCTAATGTGAGATGGCATGCAAAAGAAATCAGCATTTAATTATATTGGAATAATATCGACGCTTGAAAGGCAAACATGACTAAGCGACAATGCGTGAACTTTACAGTAGACCAATTTAAAGTTGAAATACCTGAAAACAAAATTTATTTTAATGAATTTAGCTGTAGTAGAATCTAGCTAGTAGCTATAGGATTGAAATGATTTTAATAGACGTAGAAATATATATTTTTTTGCGCATTGAATATGGTTATTGCCTATCATTTATGTACAAAGCAGTTATTGTCGCTTAGTCACTTTTGCCTTTCAAGCGTCGATATGTTTGCACCATGTAAAAACTTATCAAGTCTATTTTCAAAAATGAAGTTTGTATTATTGTTGTAGTGACTCACTGTCATTATTAAAAAAAAACATAATTTATCCTTGTTCATGTATATGTTGAACATAAGTACTTTTTCACTTCATTTGTAAGTGATGAGTAATGTAAATAAAAAAGGGTAGCTGTTCAAATACATACCACCCATTTCATTTTATAGAAAAATATGATTAAAATGAGACTTTACCGTCGTCATCTTCATCGTCCCCTCTTGTAGTGAGGAGGCTCGTCAGCAAAGCCTCGTCATTCGCGTCTCTCTGGAGTCGTTCGTCTTCCACATGATTCCTAAGTGCAGCCTCTACGGCCCGCTGCACTAATCTTAGTCCTGGCCAAGGGACCCGTCTGGCGAGCACACAGGCTGTCACAGTCTTTTCGCATGCACCCCACTGCTCGAATACCCCTGTTACACCCCCCAGCTGCTCATAAAACGTGCCGTTCATTGCGACAACACCATAGCAGCCCAATCTCAAGATTTGTTTGTAATCTACACGTCAATGGTGAGTGACAGCTGATCCTTGAGCACGAATTCCTCGATACCGCGACAAACTTCCACATGGAGTAGGTAAAACGAACTTTTCACGGTTGTCGGTGTGTAGTTTTTGGGTGATATTTTTTATTTTAAATGCAGGTAGATTGGAAAACATGGACTTGTTTCAGAGACTCGACTAGTTATCAAAATCCAAAATGGCCGACCACAGATTATCAAAATGTCATTATTTTATTATTCCTACAATATGGGATCAGCAACAACAATCTGCTAACAACTAATAGTTTAAAATAAAAATTATTACGATTTATTAAAACAAAATATATTTCTGCATAATCTCATTAAAAGTTGTGGTGCTAAGATTTAGAACCGTAAAAGAAAGGTCAGATTGAATACTAGATGTCGCTATTTGCATTTTACAAGTATACAAAGAAAAGAAAAAGTACGTAGTGCAGCTAAGTTTTTTTTTTCTGCCTAATTGCTGGTAGCCTAAAGGCTAATTCCAGCAACTTAAGGACTGGTAGGTGAGCTCACGGGCTCAACCTGAGAGTGATTGCTAATACTGTTCCTAGCAAGAGTCATGCTTCGCAAAATGTATCATCCGCAAAAATACTACCACATACCACCAAAAGGCCTATTTCTGGCGTGAACCAACAATGCGTTTCGGTTTGAAAGGTGGGGCAGTCGTTGTACTGTAAAAACTGAGACTTAGAACTCATGTCTTAAGGTTTATAGCGGCATTCAGACTATCGATATCTATGGGCTCCAGTAACCACTTAACATCAGGTGGACCGTTAGCGTGTCCAGCCATCTTAGCAATACAAAATTACCGTTTATTAAATTTTCCTTAAAAATCGCGCCAAAATAGCCAGTTCATCGGAATGAAGCAGCTATCGTCTTCCTCACAGTGCAGTAAACGGTTTAAGCGCGATGTTGTGTATTTCCATAATTGAAAATTTTATGTCCGTAAAGAGTAAGAGGTAATATTACGAAAGGGTGAACATGAATAGATGACAGAGGATTTCAGCAAAAAAGGTAGGTTGACCTTGATATATTTTGAAAGAAGATAGTCTGCTGCCCACTCTTGCATAATACGGAGTAAAACGGACCACCGAGAAAGATTTCTATTATGCAAATACAAATTGCTGAGGGAAAAAAGTGAGTAGCATTGAATAATAGTTTTCTACGTTTGATCCTTTTGAAGTATGTTATTGTTAACAACGACTTATCGTTTCTGTAGGTAAGTGTCTGGTTGATTTGAGTAAACAGGATACTTACCCTTATACCTAACAGACATTAAAACTAAAAATCGTGATAAGATTAAATTATTAATTAATAGCCCATTAAATAATAGTATTAACGTACATTTTTTTATTGCCTTTGTAGGCGAGTATACGGCCCACCTGATGGTAAGTGGTTACCGTCGCTCATGGACGTAAGCAATGCCAGGGGCAAATCGGGAACCATTGAGTTCTTTTGTCAATGCACCTACCATGCATTATCTCTGCACCACCCTATGGTCGACTGGAAGAGAATGCCCATGCCATTAAGTCCGCCTGTGTACAAGTTTTGTTTTGTGCATAAAGTATAAATAAATAAATAAATAAATACTCTCCGCAAGCCTCGTTTGAAAAAGGACATATCATAGATAGTGATAACCGCACGAATTTAAAACAATACATAACCTATATCAATCATATTTCTCGGAAAATATATCTTGAGATATATATATATTCAGTTTGAATTAGTGCTTGTTCGTCCCAATTATAAAAGGCGAATAAAAAGATCGTGTAACGATGTAACATTTTTAAATAAAATAAATATGATTTAATAATATACTAACAGCTGATGATATGTATGTCGAGCTTGGAACGCACGACGCGCGAGGGCAGAAATGATGTCACTGAGCCACGAGTGCATTAATATTGTTAATAACGAAGTCAGACTTCCCACGCTTTTCAACCATCCATAATATTAATAGGTATGTTTAAAATTATAAAAACATTGCCACGCGCTGCGTGAAGAGGCTGCAATTTCGTAATATTTAGAAAGGGTTACAAACAAGCTGACATCGGATCTAACAAAGTAAGATTTCAAAATCCTGCATCCTAAGTGTTTTTTTTATTTTATTGCTTTGATGTGTGGACGAGCTCACAGCCCACCTGGTGTTAAGTGGTTACTGGAGCCCATAGACATCTACAACGTAAATGCGCCACACACCTTGAAATATAGTTCTAAGGTCTCAGTATAGTCACAACGGCTGCCCCACCCTTCAAACCGAAACGCATTACTGCTTCACGGCAGAAATAGGCGGGGCGGTGGTACCTACCCGTGCGGACTCACAAGAGGTCCTACCACCAGTAATTACGCAAATTATAATTTTGCGGGTTTGATTTTTATTGCACGATGTTATTCCTTCACCGTGGAAGTCAATTGTGAACATTTGTTGAGTACGTATTTCATTAGAAAAATTGGTACCCGCCAGCGAGATTCGAACACCAGTGCATCGCTCGATACGAATGCACCGGACGTCTTATCCTTTAGGCCACGACGACTTCTAAAGTGTGTCAAATATTTATAAGTTCTGTAAATTACGTAAATTAGGCCCAGAACATAACATGCTAAGCCACGTTAGAACAATATAAGTATTATGAAGATAAAGATGATTAAAGGTACATACAGATTTCGATCTCATATTGTCTCATGGTGAAAAGCTGGAGGGCAACTTGTGGTCACTATACACACCGGTAACAGAAGTGAGAATTTGTTTTAAATATATTATTTTTAAATTAGTACCTACAATACACGAAATCTGCATGATAATGTCGACTGTGGTGTGTTACTCTACTAGACAAGCCCCGGGACTTCACCTGCATTAAATTTGTAATTCAGAAAAGATGAAACATGTAGCATTTTCTTCGGATAAAGAGTTTCTTGTGTTATAATGTAAAAGCTTCTTAATCGTGCTTCTTTCATTCTCGTTTTTACCATTCATGGATTTAAAAAGTGCGAACTTTATTTAATTCCTATATTGGCGGCTAAAATTTCTTTTTGCGCGGATCTAATCGATACATCGCTACGTACTCATTAACAAAAAGGATTCCAACATGTAAGTATCCAACCGAATATCCTTTATAAAAGCGTCGTTAAATAGACTAATAAAAAGTCAAATATACCTTAATAGAACTATGCTTAAAGGGTAATAATAGGGTCAAAAATTGAATTAAATTCATTTTTTATATTTGGCACTTGTTTTTTATTATTTTCGCCTAGTTAAGTATCTCCTACAATCCCATATATTTAAATTATCATTCCATATTCACGGTTTCAATATTCGCGATATATTTACGGAATATATACCCCGCGAATAAAGAGCTTTTACTGTACCTACTCTAGTCCATAAACTATTAGTTCTATAGAAATGGTTACCATGACAACTGCTGCGGTAGTTTGTTATTATTTAAGCGTGTATAATCTATGATTTAAGCAATGGTCGATGAAAAAACATTATGAATAAGATTTACACAAAATACGTTCTTACTCCTATATCACAAAAAGAATATTTACGCAAAATTTAAAATCTATCAGGTGAATGTCTTCATAATAATTTAATAAAGATTTTTATTTTTAATTTTTTAATAAAGAATTGAAAAAACATATCATTATTTCATTACGTTTTCCCAAATAATCTTTAAACAATTACGTACTAATTCGTCAAAGCTAAGTGATTCTTCATTAAAGGCCAGTAAAAAATTAGAGTGATCGTTGTGGAAATCCTGACGGACTTTTTTATCCGGCCGAGTCTTAATTATGTCCTACAAAACTAAAATTTATGCAATTTCACACACACACTGACAACACGCGGAAGGGATTAAAAGCGGGCAATTCCACGCATTCGTTCAAAAGTTTGTGGAAAAACCATCTGTAGTATTTTAGAAATAAAATCTAAAATTGTGTGCTTAGAATTCAGAAACCAATGCAGCCGTCGAAGGGAATTCGATATGAACACACACCATTATGTACTAAGGATTAATTTTCATATGTTACGATCATAGGAGCCTTAAAAATATTACTGTCATTGACAAGCATACGATTTCTTTAATAAAAAGCGGTTAACAGAACACCACGTGAATTATACCTTCCGCTTTGAGAAGGAGGATCTTAATTGGCAATAGTATCTAGTCTTTCCTTTCATTTATAACCACGTATAATAAAAATCAAACCCGCAAAATTATAATTTGCGTAATCACTGGTGGTAGGACCTCTTGGGAGTCCGCACGGGTAGGTCTACCACCCCGCCTATTTCCGCCGTGAAGCAGAAATGCGTTTCGGTTCGAAGGGTGGGGTAGCCGTTGTAATTATACTGAGACCTTAGAACTTATATCTCGAGGTGGGTGGCGCATTTACGTTGTAGATGTCTATGGGCTCCAGTAACCACTTAACATCAGGTGGGCTGTGAGCTCGTCCATCCATCTAAGCAATTAAAAAAAAAAAGCTCTTTCCATACATCCCTTCGTATGAGTTGATGCTCTTAACTTAATTTTTCACCAAACCATTTCCCTAATTCTTATCACGAGTAGCGACAGTGATGAAATGTTTGAAAGGCGCGAATTTTAGTGATAAGATCGTCGTTATCCAGACTTCACTGTTGCGTCTTAAGATGGGTCACTTTTTCTGAGGCTTAAAAAATCTTCAGTCTATTTAATTCAGCAAGAAATTACTTTTGCATTGGATAGGAAACTGCACTGCGTCATTTAAGAAAAGTCGTCGCGGCGTTGCTTGCTATTTGGTGACATTTTTCTTGTTCCCTATTAATAGGTTTCGCTTAATCGGTTTGTTAATAATAAGTTTACTAAATGACACTGTCTAATATATTGTCATTAGTTTAACGATGACGAATTAAAGCAACTAAAAGATTATAACATGCCTTAAATGCATAGCTTAAAAACAAGTAAACAAAGTAATTAAGGATTGAATCTTGGCATGAAACAAATGTAATTGTTGCAAGTTACAACAGCTATTTCCCAAACGTTCTGGGAAGTGAGTGATGTCGTAAATCATTGCAGTTTTTCGTCTGGTTCCGTTACAATTGACCGCAGGTAGTCCAACCCTTTCTGAACGAGGGTGAAGACTCCACCCTTTCGCGAAAATACGTGCCCTTGTCATTCGTGCTTTCGTTTTCGTGTGGAGTGGTCAATATGGCTCTCTGGACGCCCTATGCGCAAGAATCGGCTCTGGACTTGAGCAAGACCAGAGTCAAATTAGAAAGGAAATCTCCCGATTTGCCTGTCACAAATTCTTCGCCGCCAGCCTCTGGGTTTCTTTATCAAGATTATCAACCGTACTACGTGAATTATTCGCCGGTTCGACCCGTACACGCCGTGCCTTCTGTGTCACCGGAGTCTACTGGTTCTTGGACTCAATATCCTCTGCCGCCTTCGATCGGAAACAGTCGGTCCCCACCGCCGGGCTCGCCTGAATTTTACGAGATGGATTCCCTGACAGACGACTATGAATATCAAGAGTTTGAGAGAGACGCTTTCCGTGCTATGGCTGAGAAGAACGGTGGAAGCTTATTGGGGAACAATCCTCGCATGAGGAGAGCCGTGCAGACTAATCAGACGGCTGACGACACATACAGGAAGCAGCGGGAGAGAAACAACTTCGCGGCCAAGCAGAGCAGAGATCGGAGGAAGATGAGAGAAGTGCGTTTGGCTTTTCAAGTCACTTATTTGAAGAAGAAAATGACAGAGATGAAGGCGCGGCTGGCGGCCGATATGTGCAGCAAGTGTGTTCAGACTCGCGATCGCTAGTTGATTTAATTACGTTACTTTAGTAGGCTATGTATCAATGACATGTATCGAAATGCCAAATTTTTATTCGTAAAAAGTTAAATTTTCAATTTATAACATAGAGTTATTCGATTAATATAAATAAAGTGTCTCGATTTAATTGGATATTATAATTATAAAGTAACCTAAGCTAACAATTTAAAATTTAATTGGATTTATAATTATAAAGTGTAAAACCTAAGCTAATAATTAAAAAAAAACGTTATAAATATTATAATATTGTTTGTGCAATTTCCAAATTGGGTTTAATCGATTGAAGTCACCTTATAAAAATAAATTAATATTTATGACAAATTGGTGTTATTATTTTCCCTAAAAAAAAACATGATTTTTAATTGAAATTTGCAATTTGGCTGCTGTAACAGATGTTGGTTCTTTATTAGCGTATACATAGATCAGCCAGCCAACCTACGACCCTCAGACATAAGGATCATGACCATAGGAGTAAAAAGTGACTAAAGGCCTTTGGTAGTGAGCTTAGTCTTAAATCTATGCTAACAAATAGGGATCCGGACCATAATAATAAAATCCTTAGAAATATATAAAAAAATAGACACTTAACATCTAAGTTTAGGTTGCGACATCGACATTGTCATGGCAATGAGTTCACCGATACCTACCGCGGCAAGTAAGGCTAGTACATCTAATATAAAAGGGGTAATACAAACAAATAATAACAACCTAAATAATAAAATATTTTTTTGTTAATTTGCATGAAAATTACGAATGCAAGTTTTTCTGTTACCTATTTAACTACAGAAAAATAGTTAAGCCTTTAAAACATCATAAATAAGCTGTCTTTCCATACCCCTAATAAATTTGAAGATTACTATCTCACAATAACATTTCAATTACCGGCTTAGGTCGTAAAATCTAGAATTTTCGGCATCATCAATGTTATTAGCGACGCGACCCTTTTCTATTGTTTCTCTGTTTTCCTTGGCAAGCTGTGTTGAAACAAGAGTTTTATTTTTACAAAATATCGGTCTGGAAAATTCTACTGACTCCTAATTTTGATTTAAATTAAAACATTATAATTTTAATACGCTTTTATTAGCTTCAGACGTATGTACCTATGTTAGTATGTAACGAAATCTTTGAACATGATTTTGATCCCCTTCAAAACATCGGATTAATTCGAAAGGCATACATACTTATTAAGGACTGATGACAATACAATATTTAAAAAAAATATTTAAAAAAAATATTTAAAATATTGAAATTCAACTAAAAATGAAAAATAAATAATAGTTTAAAAAACTAACAAAATACGCTTTTATTAGGATATTAATAAATTTGAATTAAAAATAGTGTAAGAAAAAATTATTTTATTGTAAAAAAGCGTGGGGTGCATGTTATCAGTAGTTATAAATATTTTATGAACAGATATGAGTAGAAGGGTTATTTTGATAATATCCTGAAAAGCACCCCACGCTTTTTTACAATAAAATCATTTTTTCAAAAAAATTTTATAGTTGGATTTTATAGTTGGATTTTATTTTATAGTTGGATTTTCGATAAAAGCGTATTTTGTTAGTTTTTTTAAACTGTTATTTTACGTGAAATGCACAGCAGTTAACGGCAATACCGATTAGTTGTTGCTGTAAGAGTGTATGTATGTAGATTTGTTAGAAAATACATTATAAGTTATGTAAATTTTATTTCGAACTATTTCGTTTAATTAGAAACACTATCTTTGTAAACATTTTACCATTTCAAGATGTTACTGAACCATGAAATGAAGGCGTTATCGAAAACAGCAAGAGTCCTCTCAGTCGTGTCAGAGAAATCCTCCGAAAATCGAAGTTATTTTAGTTTGTAGAATATGAGTTTCATATTAAATATAAACATCTGCTCTTTACCATTATCGCTGCACAGTGATCGTTGTCATGTTTTTCGATGGTATCTTGTCAACATTGAGCACGCGACCTAACAAAACATACCTAAGCGCCAAAGAGTATAATATCTCTATTACAATAATATTATAAAGTAATGAAGATTTTTCACTGGGTTTTCTTACTATACCAATCTTAAAACTAAATTAGGGATGGCTATAATTCAATTTTCCGACAAATTGAGACATATTTAAAAATCACCTAAACTTTTACAATCACATTTGGTACATTCGTCTCAAAGTAACGTATTAATATGACGCATCGATGTCACAAGATGACTCAGTTATTAAAACGCTTATAACTATTATATATTATATTATATTATGTATAATACTAGCGGACCCGGCAGACGTCCTATACCTACACATCTTAAATTCGAGAATTTCAAACTTTTATTATAAAATATTTATTATTCGAAAATATTCTCGAATAAACACACAATAATTCATCAAAATCTTTTTGGCCGTTTAGGAGGAGTTCACTAATATACACACAAATAGAATAATTATAATATATTATACAGACTAGTGGTCCCCTGGTAGTCGAAATTCAGCTATAATTAATTGAAATTATAAGCTTATACACCATTATGATTCTATTGTCAAAGACTAATAAATAAACTTCTGTAATCATAGACCATTCTGTAATCACAATCATTTCGCCAAGACTACACTTTAGACAAATATTAATAAAGACAAACAATTATGTAATAAGAAAAGTTTGACAATAAACAAAAATAGTATGTAGGTAAGCGTTGTGTGTCAAATACACGGTAGTGTGTGTAATGTTTATTTTATTGATGTAATGTATGTTTTATGCATAATTTAAATAAACTAGAGGTCCCGCAGTAGTCGAAATTCGACTATAATTAATTGGAATTGTAAGTTTGTACACTATTATGATTGTATTTTATACTTCTATAATCACAAATTTCGCCAAGACTACACTATAAAAAATATTAACAAAGACAAACAATATTTAATCTATTCTCAATTTGACAACAGACGTCAAGAACAAAAGTTTGACAATAAATAGTATGCATGCGTGTGTGCGTCAAATACATGGTATGCAGTGTGTGTAATGTTTTCTTTATTGATTTCATGTATCTTTTATGCATTATTTTTAAAAAAATATTAGCATTGTGCACTTCTTCTCTATATTCTCTATAAGTGTGGGAAATTTCATACTCCTCCGTCCGCACAATTTTTGTAAAAAGGGATACAAAGCTTTTGCTTCACGTATTAATATATAGATACCTATATTTAATAAGATAATCGCGCTTTGATGTTACGAGTCGACATTCGACGTTTAGACCACTGTCATAATACCTAGGTATGTATCAGAAAAGTGGGATTTCGAAATCGTGCTATTGTGTCTATTTGTTTTGAATATTGTTTAAAGTAGTATTAATTATAAACAAATTACACTAGAAAATTATGAATAAAATAATTTGTACTGTATATTCTTATCGAATTCCTGGTCTGTGCCAGATTTCTTGACCATACTAATGATTTATATCGGCTCGGTAAAGAATTTAATGTACAATAGCTGTAGATAGGTATATAGGGACAAAATGCACATCGTCCGGATCGATATTGTGTCACCCCACGCAAGGGTCGGCGGCGTGGGGTACGTGCCCTTGCTTAATCAACGGACGCAACCCTACTTTATAAACCCCGCTTCTATGTTCACGCCTCTAATTTTATATCAGAGTAGACATGTGGGCCTTTTTTTCTAATTTTTTTTTATTTAATTTTTTTAAGGCTTAGATGGGTAGACGAGCTCACAGCCTACCTGGTGTTAATTGGTTACTGGAACCCATAGACATCTACAACGTAAATGCGCCACCCACCTTGAGATATAATTGAATGAATTGAATTCTAAGGTCTCAGCATAGTTACAGCGGCTACCCCACCCTTTAAACCGAAACGCATTACTGCTTCACGGCAGAAATAGGCGGGGTGGTGGTACCTACCCGTGCAGACTTACAAAAGGTCCTACTACCAGTAAAAAGTAAATTAATATATTCACGTTGGCAGAAAAATATTACTCTTATACATGCCGTATAGTGATGTCTGTAGTTCCTCATGACTGATTGCTCTGAGATCATAATTTTTTACACATTAAAAGGGTCCGTGGCCCATTTTTTTCTATCGTGACCCTATTGCTTATGCCTACTGCTTAGCTGTCCACACTGCTACAATACATACGTTGTATATTTCATGTAGATCAAAACTGCCCATAACAGAATTTCATTAAAATGGATATCTTACACGTTATCAGAGTTTTAAAAAGCAGATCACAGATTGATCACAAATTTCTGCAAATTTAAACCTTCAACAGTGTAGTAACCGGATTCCGGAGGGACCAATTGTTATTTTAATTGTTTTAATTATCAACTGATGAAAGGTTTTATCTCAGCTCCAGAAATATAAGCGTATATCATTAATTATTACTCTACACTATCCCATATTAACAAATACATTGCACCCGCGCGAAACCAGGGCGGGTCGATAGTATAATTTTAATTATAGCGAATTCATTTGGACGCTAGCTACAACAAGAATTATTGTTTTTTAAACCGTCCATTATTGATGTGAAACATCTATAGCCGCACGTAAAACCGATTTCTGGCGTGGCGACGCGTCGCCATGCGCAATCGACTGTGCGATTCTGTCCCACTCGATCCGGCATTAAGCTATCTCTCTCGCTACACTGAGCTCGGATACCTATAGTGTATACTCCGTAGTGTAAACAGTGTTGTTTACTACAGTACACATAACCTGTGTTTTACTTGAAAACAAATTATTTTTTCGTAATATTTTATTTTATCATTATGTCATATTTAGTTCCTATCACAATCTGTTCTTTTCTGCATATTACTTTTACAAAATAATGTCGATGTTTCACATCTGGCAGGCGTCCCGTGACGGTTCACATTTTTTTATATTTTTTAGCTTCATACAAATTTAACTTACTCAGTAACTTGAATAATCAATTTTTTGTGAAATTCTGAATTAAGGTCCGCTTTAGCGTGATTAAATTGTCATGGATAATATTTATTTA